AAGAAAAAATCTCTAAGTGTACAATTAGACGAAGTCTATAGAATAGAAAAAACTGAGAGACGCGCGCTAACTATGACGTACACAAACCAAATCTCTAATTTGAAGAAAAAAAAAAAAGTGACTCACTGCATGTTGGCTGCACGCACACAGATGACGTCTCGATAATATTTCGATAAGTGTCTCTCCTCCTCTTCGAGTTTTTTTTTTCTCCGCTTTTCACGTCTCGTCTCCGCGAGGGAATGAAAGAAGGCGAATTAAAAAGAAAAAAAAANAAAAAAAAAAAAAAAAAAAAAAAAAAGGCAACGAGATGCCTCGTGCGGAGAAAAAAAAAAGAATGTCTCTCAAAGGCCCGTATCTGTCACCAGGCAGACAAGAACTGACCGGAATGTAATCTAACGATGTGCACGAAACGTAGGTTGAACCCCGAACGGAGACCTCGGCAGGAGGACCTCGAAGGTGGTTAGGATTTCCCCTCCCGCGATTTCTTTTCCCACTCGGTGGGGATTCTCCTGCGGACGACGGTCATTAATCCCTCATTCGTCACTTTCTGCGTGTTTCCCTCTCTCCTTCTGCGAGGCATTAGCGACATCATCGCATTTTGCGGCGCGTCGTCCCTTCATCCTCCCCGAACGCGCCTCCGTCCGCAAGAGAGTACACTCTTTTCTCCCACCCATCGGCGATATGCCACTTCGAGACGCCCCACTCTCTATTTCAAGTTTCCCGCTACGTTTCGCGCCTTTCGAACCGATCGCCGTGTCGAATGACGATCGATTTTCGTCCTGTCTTTAGGAACCGTAACGGCGTCAGGCAACGCCGGGTACAAGTGTTCCCTAGACCGATCGAAAAACCTTTCTTCCATCAAAAAATAAAATATTCAAACTCCGAAATACTCGTTTTTTTTGTTTTAAATACATTGTGTTTATTTCGTAATGTATTTGAAAAATTTTACACAAATACACGCGGCTCCGAAGAAAATTGCGCGGAAAAAAAATGGCCAATAAGAAGTCAATCTTCGTAATCGTTTTGCTTTCTGACAAATATTTGTATCTTCTCTCGATATTGCTCAGACGTTTGGACAATTTTAATTCAAACGATCTCAAAGTAGAGTTTTTTGTTTTAAATTTGATTTAAAAGTCGTTACCTGAAAGTAAGTCTTTTCAGAATAAACGTTGCGTAAAAGTGAATAATTTACAAACGAGCGACTAATTAGTCTGAGGACAATAAGTGTCTGTAGAAAGCCCGCCGTAAATCTATCATATGCACGTCACACTTCCGCCGGCATCCACCGTAACACCGTAACCGCAGGCAAAAAGACAAATGTTGAAATCGCTCTTAAATGTAAAGACAGCTGCGCGCAGAGCTACGGCACGCGCGCGCGCAGTGATGACTTTCAAGATCACACTTTGTAAGTATTTATATTTTTTTTTTTTTTTTTTATTTGAGAAATTTAAATTTGATTGTGAGATTGCGCATAGTTTTTTTACGCTCGTCTACACGGATTTTTTTTATTAAACTTGACCTTAGCTACATCTTTATATTTTTATATAATTGATTTTTTTTCAAGAGAAAAAAGTGGTACGCAGACTTTTATCTTTTTTTATATTTATAAACGGATGTTTTTTAAATATTAAAAAGTAATGTCAAAGTGCTAACAGTGTGGCAATAAAACAACAGACGCACTGAGAAGTTTTATACAAGGAAAAGAGACAGAAAGAGAGAGAGAGAGAGAGAAAGAGAGAGATTAAACAATAGGAGAGTTTGTTCTGGTGCACGAAGGGTTTCGTTCACTATACAATTCGTAGAATGCAGCGTGGACGTATTTATGAACTGTAAACTCTCGAATGATTCACAACAAACTTCGCACCGCTATTAACGAATGCGATTTATTTATGTATTTATTCTCGTGTAACTTTCTTGATGTTACCGAGCGTAGGAATAACGTTTTTTTTTTTTGCCGTATTGTTAAGTTTTTTCTCATACTGCATCTATAGCTTTTTTTTTTGGAAAAAAAAACAAGTAAACTCGCAATTATTGCTAATAATCACTTTTTGTATTTCTCGGCGGAATCGAGTAGTTTAATGTTTAGTCTATATAAATATTTGTGACAATTACACGAGATTAGCGTTATCTGACATTGAAAGTTCCGGCTTGATACTCCAAAGAAATAAAAAAAAAAAAAAACTAGAAATACATTGTTTGAATTCGAACGCACGAAACTGACAGAAATTTACATAAATCGCGCGGAGACGCGAATTGCACAATTGCAGAGCGATTGCAAATTTCTCTCTGGTGGCGCAAGATCTCTGCGACCAAATCGGTTGAGGAAAAGAAGAACGCTACAAAAAAAAAAAAAAAAAAAAAAAAATACAATTCTCTGTAAAGCGACGGACAACAAATTGCGAATCTGATCTCGGAGTCGAACTTTGGATATATCAAGTTGGGAAGGTCGTGGCCTGTGCACGTCTACACCGCGTGAGCGAACACATCAGTGAAATTCTTTCTCTTATGTGTGAGAGAGCACGCGACCATAATATCCCTCTCTTCTGATTTTTCTTCTCGATTACACATTCGCTGTGACGAAAGTCTGACTGCGCGGTTATTTAATTACTCTTTTTTTTTTTTTTTCACACAATTGTGAGAGATGGACACAAACCGGTGTTAATATATCAATCAATCAATATCAGTCAATTGGTCATCTCGATTGGTCAATAGACATCCTTATCGGATCTGCAGATCGGGAGCACATCAGATAAGAAATATCGAAATCGAAGAAATGAACGGAAGAATATATTTCCGATGCGATAAAAAATTGCACTATTACTTATAGCGTGCAATTAATAAATTTAGAAAAGTAACTTAACCGAGAGATGGATTCTCGTTTTCTTCCTTAAAAAAATCTTAATTTTCCGATTCGACAGTCTCTTCTCGATTATTTTGGACACTGAAATGTGTCTCGAAGACGCGATTCTTCTCTCGAATATTGTCTCTCGTTTTATTGTCACGTAGTGATGATAAAATCCGAGACGGTTATTGTGCGCGCACAACACAAATGCACATCGATCGAGTGAATCAACTCGAGAAACCTCGATTATGACGCATACCGACTTTGATGTGACTCTTGCGAGGCGAGCAATTGCCGCCTTTTGCACCCTTCTCGGAATCGCGGATCATGGCAAACAAGATGATTTGCGGATCATTATTTCCATCGGTGAACGAACCCTTATTTCGACGGAAATTGAAGTCGGAAACGGTGCGGAAACAAGTTCGCGCGAAATTATCGTCTCTTGCAACAAAAATTCGTCAAAACTCCAATATGTCGCATGTAGCAAACACGAGACCTTAGATCTCTTTAATAGCGGCAATTATATTGAAAAACTTCATTGAACGTAGCTTCGATTATGTTGAAATTGTTATTAACGTTCGATCTGCGTGTAATGAGAGTCACAAACTTCTTTTCTCTTTTCTTTTGCTTTTCTCGCGCGCAGCGCAACCCTTTATTTTCCGCTCTCTCTCTCTCTCTCTCTCTCTCTCTCTCTCTCTCTCTCTCTCTCTCTGTGTCAGATTACATCCGTGTCGGCATCACCGATGCTTATATCTCGCAATCCGGATAAATATCTTTTTACAAAATATTTGTCTCTCGCTCGAGAAACAAAACTTAGTTATTTCAAAAACGAAATGAGAATGTTCGCGTATACAAGAATTTGTTCGCGTAACAGATTTCGTCACCACGGGAATTTTTCATCAACCGACTTAGACGACGGTGAGGAAGACGGGGAAGAAGGAACGCGATATAAAAATTAGAACAATAAAGTGTGACACAATAAAGAAGAAGAAAAAAAGAAAATAAATCGCTCGTCAAGAGAATAGCGCGGCGAAAAAAAAAAAAAAAGAGACGACCACCTCACAGAAGAGCTTCGAGTACCTAAATTTGAGGGCTCGTGCTCGAGATAGATCAACAAACACACGACCCCGTGGGGGTGGTGGATACAATCTTCGCTTTCATGTGACTGTTAGCATAGGGCCTTCAAGCGTCATCGGAGCGTCTTCTACGGACGTGACGGTTACATCCCCGCTTTGTTTCGGTGCTTGTATCGCCTATGCACACATACCCTTGCGGAAACGCATAGAGAGAGAGAGAGAGAGAGAGAAAGAGATCTAGCGAGTAAATATTTTTGCGTTCAGTGAAGAACGTGTATTTTCGCGCGAATACAAACAGAGTTCCGAGATAGCGTTTCGTGGTACCGCGTCGAGATCAAAGTTATATTATTTCTCGGAATTAAAATCGAGATCGCGCATCCCCTTTTATCTGACCGGCAAAATTTAAACATCATCACACCCCGCTGTAACATCTTTTTTTTTTTTTTTTTTACCTTTCCGCAACACGTGTTTTCTCCCCGACAAAAAAAACGAACTTCGCGTAATTGCTAATAATTGACTTGTCCGCGAGATGCGGATAACGCGTATACGTACGTATATATATACACACCTAATCACTCGCGTCTCGCAGAGACGTGAATCGAAGTTAAGTTCGCGGTAAATAATAATAATGATGAAATTGAAATTGAAACAATTTTCTTGCGCGCGACAACCGCAGATCTCGCAGAAAAACGTCGCGTCGATGTCAACGAACGGCGACGCGCGCACAATACGCGAATTTTTGTTATAACATTGTTACTCGAGAGATCGCGACATATCGACGAGTCGCTAGTTTTGACATCGCTAATATTCAATTGTTCAACAAATGCTCAAAAAAAAAAAACAAAACAAAAACATTTCCACCACCTAAACAGACTTTTTTTTTTTACAAAGAAACGAGAAAAGGAGGGGATGGTAGCGCGCTTCGCGCGATAGTAACGTGAGAACCAGAAACGCGCGTTTTGAAGATATATAATATCACCTCGCACCTGTGTGTGTGTGTGTGTGCGTGACACACATCTGTCCGCGGGGTCGCACGTGACGATAGCGTCATTTACAACAAATGATTATTTTTGTTCACTAACCTGGTGAGCGAGGCACTCACGGGCGAGTGCGGCGCAGAGGGATCCTGATCGTGCTGATCCTGATGATGATGCGGAGTGGCGGACGCGTGATGCGCGTATATCGTGTCCATGTAAAGCTGATCGGACACCCGATCGGAGTCCTGCAATCCGTGATTGGTTTGAACCGACGGTGGCGGCTGCATCGCCGTGAGATGCGTGAACGACTGCAACCTGCCTTGATCGGTCGGACTGTAGCCGGCATCCTGACGATGTTGCGGCGACGATAAGGTCGTCTGATCGTCGTGCGGACTGTGGCTTGATTGTGGCGAACCACCCACAGTTTGGACCGACGGGGAACACGCGCCGGTCGATGATGCGCCGCTGGCACGAATATGATGCTGCGAATAGGGCTCGGACAGCACGTCCTCCAAATGCGACGCGTGATTATGATGGTTGCTACCGTTGCTGGTATTCGGTGGAATAGCAAGATTGAAGAAAACACTTAGATAATCTCCCCGTGGGTTCCTCATGGCCGCGATGCTCATGCTTCGCTCAACGTCCTCGTCCGTTTCCTGATGGTGATGCTGCGGATCCTCCAGATGACGGTGGGCGGACGATAATTGATGCACTTCGGACAAGTGATGGTGTTGAGACTGCTGCTGATGGTGATGTTCTGTCGTAGTCGGTGAGAGCGTTTCGGTATATCGTTGCATTGTCGAGCGAGACATCTGACTGTGGTCGTGTCCCTCCAGCACGACCGAGGTCTCAGACGGGTGAGCGTTATCCCCTCCCTCGGGAACCGGGACCTCTCTTGGCCCGACCTGCACGTATTGATGCGGCTGCTGTTCGTGATGGTGGTGGTGATGGTGTTGGTGTTGGTGGTGGTGGTGGTGCGTTTTCTGCTGTTGATGATGCGGCTGTTGGTGGGGCGTCTGTGAGACCTGTTCTTCCCTCATGTCACCGCCCTCAAAACTTTAGGGATGAACGGGAAAAGAGAAACGCGTGTGAGAGACATTTGTCGAGTTGACAAATTTTTTTTACTTTTTCGACAAATGTCAGAATAAAACAATCCCATTGGGGGGGAGGGGGGATTGATCAATGTATAAAAAAATAAAAAAAGTGCTGACATGTTGTTTACAAAAAAAACTAAAATTTTTGAAGAAAACAATAATGTCGTTCAAAAATAAACTCGCGAGTAAAAAAGAGAAACGGAATATTATAAAAAAAAAAACAAACCTTGTATAAAAAACACATTAACGCTCCGTTGCCAACACGTAACGGGGGTGCGAGTAATCATCGATGCGAAAGAGAATAAAGCTAATATTAATATTAATTTCGTTCGTCATTTAATTTTCTCGCTAAAAAGCGAGAGATAATATTCGGCAAAAAACACACAAGTTCGCCTTGCAATTCGAAAATATACTCGTCTCGACTCGGAAAACTCACCTCTCGTGAATCATGTGCGCGGGATGATATCCTAGCTCGTGAAGGGTATAAGTCGCGTTCGGATCGTCGTCCGCGTGATTGTTGACAGCGGCGGCGACAGTGGCGACCGCAATAGCGACTGCTTCGACACCGGTTGGCTCTACCAAGGCGCCATTTTCCATTTCCGGCTGTCCCGCCTCTTCCAGCACGCCCACACCGCTCTCCTCCCCGATCTCCTCCTTCGCCACGTAGACCAGCTGTTGAGGGTGTTCCTGCCCGACATCGTGTTTGATGACGTCCTCGCTTTTTATCGCCGCCACCACCACCGCTGCCTTTTCCTCCTCCATCTCTTGCTTGACAATTGCCTCTTTAGCAGACTGTGACGTCGTCTTGGTCTCAACATATTCGTTAAACACTGTAAATTTCCAAACAATTTTTTGTTGCCTATTTTTATATTCGGTATGTTAGAAATTGCTCACATTCCTTAAATATAAAAACTACGGCTCGTTTTCTCTGTTTGTGTGTGTGTGTGTGTGTGTGTATGTCAGAAACGCTTAAGGCTAGCATATAAACCGACATACACAATTTTCGTTATTGTTTAATAAATCTCCTCGAAATATGAATTTCAAACATAAAAATGCACATGGTTTAAAATTCTATAAAGAAAACACAATTCTTTTATTTGCTTTTCGTTTTCCAAAAAAACGTTTTTTGACCTAAGAAAGACCCGGCTCGAAACGCTGTGAAACAAAGATTAAAAATATCTCAAAGTGTCTTAATGAAGACTATAGCATTTTATTGCTGTAGTCTTTGTGCGCTTTTATCTCTTCAAGTGTAAACTGACTACTTTGTAGTCAGGCGAAAAATAAGTGTGATCGATGCCAAACGAGTTGCGTAAACATATATGTCACATAAATACTCCGAAAATTATCGACCGATTGAACTATATATATACGTATTGTTTGTTTTGCTTCGAAGTTAATATAACGCGACACTACGACTATGATCTGTCTCGTTTGTGAAGATTTTGTTTCTCTCTCTATCGCTAGCTCCGAGCTAGATCGAGAGAAAATTTACGGCTTTTATTCTCAAAAGTGAACTGATGTGCTTCGAATCGAATTTTACCCTCTCTCCTTCTTTCAAAACGAGCAATGTAAACACGGATCTTACAAGTATTACTGTACAAGCAAACAGGAAAGATTGGAAAAGCACGGTGGAATTTGATTGAGCAATCTCACATTAGTAGACTTGGACTAATATCAAATATTTAAAAAAAATTGTGTGAGAGACGTTACGATCTTAATTTCTTACCAGTAAAACAAAAATGTGTTCTGAAGCAATCGGAGAATTTTGTCATATCGATATTATACGAGACGCAAGAAACATAGTTTTGAGTTAATCGATCGTTGAAGAGATATAGACAGATATATTGTTTTTCTCTCTCAACTCTCCGTTTTCTTGTACAACCGACGTGACCGGCTACGATCGCTCTATCGCGTGAATAAAAAAAAAAAAAAAAAATCGTCGAAGTGTTGTAATCGATCAAAATTCGTCAGAAACACACATACGCGCGTGCGCGCGTGTGTGTGCGTGTGTGTATGTATCGACGACATCGAGAAACTGTTGCTAGCCGGTGCGTTACAAAAATAACTACATGTTCTTATCTACGCTGCTCGTGTGGCGTACGCACTCACGCGTAGATGGATGGACACCGCCGCACGGGGAAGCGAGAGAGAATAATGAGAAGAGAGAAGGAGAGATGTGACTCTGTGTGTCTCAAAAGAGAGCGGCTAAACGAAGAGAAAGGTTTCGCGAAACGTTTTCTCTCTTTTTTTTTTTGTCGCGGAGATAAAAATTATTATTTTTAATCGCCAAGGGTCACATGAATCGTGACAGAACCAACGATCATTTATTGTTGACGTTATCCTAGTCTTGACTTTTATTAGTCGACTCGCGTATGCAAGCGTTCGTTAAGTTATTTCTCTCTTTTTCTCTCTCATTTTCTCATGGGTAGCGTGTGTGTGTTAAAAAAAAATTAAACAGAATATTTGAAATAAATAAATTAAACAGAATATTTGAAATAAATAAATTAAACAGAATATTTGAAATAAATCTCTCAAGAGATACTTTTTTTCTTATTGCCCCTTGCGAATGCAAAATTATTATTGCAAACAATATACGTTTTGTACAATTCGCGTTACGTACGCGCGTGCGTGAAAGAAAAGAAAATTCTATCTCCGGAGGAGATCTTGGATTTGAAAATTGGCACATATTTTTAAACTTCGAACAAGCGCAGTGTGGAATGTCGCGTAATTGGAGCGTACTACTGCACGGCACGTTATCGCGCGTTTAATAGACCATTGTTTGACCTCGAAACGATGCAATATGGGTCGATCGTGACGATTTGATGCGTAACTCGATTGTCTACGAGGCCGTCGCTGAGTAACCGGCCGAGCAAGCGTGGCATTCGCGTGGATAAACCTCAAGAATGTCACGTGCGGTCCGACGAATCCGATACCAGCTCTCGTTAGAGCGCATATTTGACAAAGTTCAGACACATTGTCGCGCGCATCTAATATAACTCCGTGACTAATGTACATTACTTGCGTGCGTGAATTTAAACTCGATTTAAAATCGCTCGCGAAACTCTAAATCGCATAAAAAACAATGAGTAATCGGCGCGAAATCTGAAGCAAAACGTCCGAAGTTATTAAATAATAACAATCGTGCTCGATGACGTCTGTCAATATATTATATTTATAATCTAAATACTTATTTTATAAATTTTTATCTGATAATTCGGATATATAACGAAGTTTTTTTTTATCTTTATAGAGTCTTATTGTTTGACTTCGCTCTAACTAAAGTCCGTTAATTCCCACTCACATAAAAAATTGCATAAATAATCTAGCAAATCAGCGCAATTGTCACTCACAGCTCTTCAACCGCAATGCAATTGTCACTCAACAACAAAGATAATATCTCGACGGACAGTCGAGTTATGTGTAATGTGAAAAAAAGACTAATAATAACGGTGGTATGAAGCACATACAGATATCTGTGAAAAGCAGAGCGGAGTGCATGGCAAACATGTGACAGGAAAAGATGGCACATAACGTGAGTTCATTGTATGACATACGCCCAATGTTATGTGTTGGGTGATCGTAAAAGAATTTGACTTTAATGGATTCTTATATATACGCATGTGGATTTTTAAAAGAAATTTTTTCTCTCTGTGTTGTTTATCGACCATGTGAAAAAGCTGTGAAATGTTTAAAGAACTACGATACGCGTCTTACAAATTACGGTTTAACTCCGTTTTAACTCCCACACACAATCCGAGTTCTCGTTTTTCTCCACACACACACACAACTAAACAAAAAGTTGGAATCTTCTTTGTTTTTTTTTTTTTTTAATTTTTAGATTGTTTGTTCTTTGCCTGTGTAGTGTAAAATATTACGATTACAAGAAAAAAGAAACTCGATTTTAAGCGAGCAGAATTTTATGATATTGAAGAAACGGAGAGGTCGTCATCAACGTCTGCGAAAAACGCGATATATCGCGACTGTTTAACATTGAACCGACCTTATTGACATTACCTAATCGAATTGGAAAGGTCAGGTTCGTTGGATTATCTGCCGTTGCCTCGCGACGAATTTGATTAAAGAATGTATTTTTGTACAAAAGGTCCAAGTACACTTTTGCATCGATCAATCTCCGGAATAATGTAAATGCAATACACGCATTGGGTGTAGACTGGGCGCATCGCCGATAACGCTCGTCAAAGATTACTCTTTGGACATCTTAAAAAATAACAGCAAATTTAACTGCAAAAAATTACGTTTAATTAACTCCATTGCTGATAAATTGTTCTTTTATCTACGAGATGTCTTTTTTTTTTTTTTAGGTTCTTAATTATATTCTTAACAAGTTCAATTATTATTTTCCTCAAAATGCAAGCAAATCTTATATTATAAAAATTATTTCATTTTCACTCGCTAATTAGACGAAAAAATTACAATAGAGAAAGAAAGATTATTTGTATTATTTTTTATATCATAAACATTATTTTTTTACGTCATAAACAAGACTAAGTTTTACTTACAAATTTATAGATTTTATTTGATAAACGCACACACAAATTTAGAATGAAAAATAATATAGCTGAATATAATAAAAAAAAAAAAAAAAAAAAAAAGCGCAACTATTGTGAGCCGCGCGAGCGTGTGTCCTCCGAATGCAAATTTTTAAAAATAGACTTTTAAAGATAAACGCAAAGGAATTAGCCATTCCATATTATCGGCGACTTGAAGATGCAGAGCCACGACCCCGATTAATCATTCGATGCAAACATATGCATCGGCTGCAGTCTCTCCCCCATTGTTGCAACAGCAAAAATAAAGAACTAAAATCAGTGCCGACAAAGAAATGCGCTCGATCGACTCTAATTCCACGACGGCTCCGATGTGTGTGTGTGCATGTTTATGACGGATCTAATTTCACGCAACATTCTGTCTGTCGGATCAATATCTGTCTCACAATTTTATAGATATAACATATCCCTAATAGGTTAAATTGTGAAAATATTGCACAAAAATTGCGTCACGAATGACGACAATTTTGCAACGATTGCACCAAGATGATTCGCCATGACGCAACAGTTTTGTCGAAATAAAATTTTGTAAATAATAATTTGTCAAAAATTGCAAAAGAGTCGTTATGTGCATTTCCACAAGTATATATACATGAATTAAGTTGATTTCTTCATATGCAATTATATTTCTCTCTACATATTTTTTAAACTTCACGTAGCTAAAATGTTTTTCTCAATTATTGGACAATTTCTTTTTGTAAAATTAATTTTGCAAATATACCGCTAAGATGATACGCCATATCGTTATTTTTTTGCCGAAATAGCATTTGGAAAATAATTTTGCAAACAACTACAAATATTTTATAAAAGATCAATGTTTTTATACATCTATTTCTTAAATATATCTGTATTGTAATTGCAAATTACAATTTTAGTCCAAGATTTCACATTACATAATTTTGTAAACGTTTTCCTATCGGGGATATGTATCTCTACTCTTTTTCACACATTTTCCGCAAGTTCTTTTTAGTTTCTTGTGCGCAAACTGATTTTAATTGTGAGAAAAAATTTTTTGTAAAGACCACGTATCAATTTCACATTTTCTTTCGTTTAATATTAATTTTGCACAAAATTTTTAAGCGCTTGTAAAAAGCGTGTCACGGACAATTACAATATTTTATTCAACTAAAATGACGAAAATAAGATGAATGCAAATAATGCAAATATATAAACGATAAAAAGAGAGTTTTATATTATTGCTTGTCTGACAAACAATGACGAAAGTATCAAATACAAGTTGCAACGCTGTGTTGGACGCGTTA